TGGAAAATAAAGTGCGAGAAATAAAGTGTACGCTATTACGGTGCTTCAGGGATGGGGAGTACAAACCATAAAATGGGGAAGAAAATAAAGAAAACCTTAATTAAAACTATTACATACCATTGAGAAGTTACAATAATTATAAAAATATTAAGGCGACAGATAAAGTGCCCGAAGATGGTGAAAAGAAAAAAATGTTTAAATCCTAAAAAATCTAAGCATTAGAAAATATTTTTTGGTGTTTTATTTATGAAGAAAAGAAAGAATTTAGAGTGATAACTAAAAAAAACAAATAAAGCCTAATTATTTCTAATTAATTTTATCTTTTTTAAAACAAAAATAATTTAATTAATTAATTAATTAAAAAATGTCTAATTATTTTTATATTAATTAATTAATGAATAATAAAAAAATCTAAGTCTATTTATTATTATTTTTAATTAAAATAGTTAAATAAAATAAATAATAAATAAACATAGAAAACAAAAAAGAACATATTGGGCCTGCTGAAGTAGAAAAAATGGGGTTGTGAGAACAGAAGTTGTTGGGCCCAAAGAAACAAGGCCCAGTGCTTGCGTTGGATCCAAAGCGGCTAGCTTTGAGAAGGTGCATCATGGGGCGTGCGTTTGGTGCGTTGGATATGTCTTTGATGTGATCTGATGGTTGTAACATGAGGCGCATGATGAGCGTGTATTCATGGCTTACACTGAATCTACAATGAAAATGTTAAAAATAAAATGTCAGAGGCAGGGATCAAACCACTGCCCTGACACACTAACGCCTCACTCACACACACGCTTGCCACTGGGTGGCTGTTTCATCCACTTATGAAACAACACCCATTAAACATATTATAAAACATGTTTAAAAGTTCAAACTTATGAACTTCGTCTTCTTCCTCGCGCCAGTCCAACAACACCACCATTTTCAAATATCAAACTCTTCCACTTCTCGACCATTTTAAAAATTGTAAACATGAAAGTTGTTCTAAATTTCATCATGAATTCAACCATGCCATTAACTTTAATTAACACTCAAAGATTAAAAATAATTTGTTTGTACCAAAACGAAAACCTAACTGGTCAGAGCTAAAATTCTCATCACACGAGCAATATAAATGAAAACTAATTACATGGTTAGCTTCAGGGCATTGATACCTACATCTTTTATTAAGAAACCAAACACAAATGATGCATGTATATGGATATCACAGTGTGGAAAACTCACCTCTTGAAGAAAAATCCAATGCCCTTAACACGACTTCTAGAAGCAATGTGATGATGGATTAAACTTGCTGGGACCTTCCTTGAGCTAATGGGATAACTACTTTGCTTTGAAAGTTGCTGAATCATTCCAACCAAGTCAATGTGCAAGCTTCAGATATGGAGTTTAGAGGATGATGAAGATTGTTTTACAGAAGTGTAAGAGGTGTTTGGATGTGTTATATGTGATATATGTAAGGTGTATGGATGGTTGGTTTTCACATATATTGCAAGGTTTGAGGGATTCGAAGAAATGGACTTCAAAGCTCAAAAATGGAGTTTTATGGCAATTCTGACTTTGAGAGTGTATCAGAGGTTTAGAGGGCTTGTGGATGGGTGTCATATGCAGTGTGTTATGATCTCTATTTATAGGAAAAGTTTCAGAGGATGAGAGGACTTGGTTTACAAGTTATCAAGTTTTGGCTTGGTTGAGATGTAACTTATGATTTCTTGAGAAATCAAAGTTCCAATGCGTAGTACCATAGCTCATAGAGTGGTTAGGAGCTTTAGACATGTTACTTCTTGCTTTAGTGCTTGAGTGTGATCATAGGAAGCAATGTATGGGCTCAAGGAGTTGACATTTTGATTAAAGTTAGCTTTACAAGAGTGGAGGTGTTAACTTTGTGCCAAAAATAGAATGATGCATTGGACAAAGTTTTAATCCTTGTGTAATGGCTCAAGATTTCGTGTAATCTTCTGATTATGGATAAATTTAGGAGTTTATAGGCCTGCAAACTGAGATCTCTAAGCATGACATGAGATTTGGTCATGAGTTCATCATAAAAATGACCTATAATTCAAGAATGAAATGCAAACTTCATCTCTTCGAAACTTCTAGCTCAAGTATGATAAATTTGTGTTCTTGGACATTTTGGAAAGCTTGAAATAAGATCTACAACTTTCATGTTTTAGTTTTTTCTGAATCAATTTGGATCTTAGTGAAAAATGGCCATAAAGTAGTGACTTTGTTAAGAACAAAACACTTAGAAATTTTTTCTAAGTGTTGGGTAAAAATATCAGAACTTCATGGGCCCATATCTCTTAATCCAAGCACTTTTTGAGGATCATCCCACATTAACAAATTTGTAGAATTAATTAATCCCTACAACTTTAATGTTTAAAGTTTTCCTTGAATCAGCTTGTATCTTGAGGAAACTTGCTTGTGAAGTTAGGGTTTTTTAGGTACAAACACTTGAATTTTTCTAAGTGTTTGAAAATCTTCAATTTTGACTTATGTTGATTTTATTGATTCTCTTGATTCTTGATGACAAAGTTTGCTAGTTTTGAATGTTTTGATGATTCTTTATTTTTGAATTCCAATGTTGACCAAAATATCAAAGTTTGACTTTTGTATGACTGTTGACTTTTTATCAATTGATTCAATTCTTCAACTATCAATCACTTGCATCTTTGGAAATGTCTTGAGACGTGTAATTAGGTCAAGATGTTGTATTATCCTATGTATTAGCCTCTGTTTCTACGTTATAAGTCCAATCTCTGTCTTGTATTAACATCGTCACTATATTAAAAGTTACCCTTAAATCTTTCTCACCAGAAAACCAAATTCTTTCCCCAGCAGATATCACAAAAAAAAATAATGATAACAAACACTCACACTTTCTTTCAGAGCAAATTTTTGGCATTAATAGTTAATCATCTTCTACCTCGAACTTCCGAGAGGTATGTGCCAATCGTGCTTTCAGGTTTAAGACGATTAAATAGGGGCACCTGTAATACCCAAAAAAATTTCTACCCTTTTACTTTTATCTGGTTTATGCATCACACACTTTTCCCATGTACATAGCTCCCATTAGGTCATTTTGCACGTCATGCATCATTGGTCAATAATTTGGCATGGGATCGATGATATTGTGGATCTAAGGTTTCTATGGATTTGATGGTTCTCATCTTCACTCAAGCTTGAATTAATTGACTTCTCTTTCAATCATTTGTTTTAAGTTAGGGTTTTATTTCATGGACTTCTTTATCATTAAGCTACGGGGCTATTCTCTTCTTCCCAACATCAAGTTGCAAGGCTTCTTTCTTCAAGACTTAAGAATTAGGGTTTCATCTATTATGCTTCAATTGGGAATCATTGGATTACGGTTCGATCTTATGGTTATCTTGAGCCTTTCTCCTTCAACATTGTAGAATTATTTTGAATGATACATTTTTTTGGTTCTCATCAAATACTTGTTACTTCAATTGCGAGTTAACTTGGATTACAGAGAACTGATTATTGATTTGGATTCGTTGAAATTTCTAATCATGCTCGGATTTAATATTGATTCAAGGCATTCATATACAAACAAGGGAATTCATGAGTTTTACATGACTATATTAGTTCATTCGAACTCCTTCATGGTCTAAGTTGTAACACAAGGTTCAAAACAAATTCCAAAGTCCATCTTAAGCTCGATATGGTTTTCATACCATGGTTCATTCTAGTTTGCAAAGTGGAGATAAAGCTTGAAATTTCAAACAGTGCAAATGGAGGGAAATAGAGAAATACTTCATTACTTGAGTTGGAATCTATACAAAAATTAATACCATATTACATCCTCATATGCAATCAATACGATACAAATCAAAAGAAGAAGTTTGTTTTGGATTGGAATTTAAAATTGAATTTAAGGATACATGGTCATTAAACTTCAATTCCAATATTGCATCACAAGTACATTACAAAAGGAGTTCATATAAAAAAGGCCTATACTTTCTACCAAAAATCTATACAATGCCTAATCATTTTGTTCCTAATCCTAAGCTTCATCATAGCCTTAAAATTCTTTCCATGAATCCATAATTCCACCTTCAATGTCATGCTTTTGTCAAGCTCGCTCAAGCCTTCATTCAATTTGCTACCCTGTTCACAACAAATACAAAAATAAACCAGTTCAGCCCTGCAAAACAGTCCACAAAACCAATTTCAGATCAACCAAGACTTACCCTGCATCAAGCTAAGTCGTGGCTGCTACAAACACCAAGGCCAGTTCCATAAAATAACCCAAAATCCATATGATGAACCGTACACACATTTTGTCACCAAATTCAAAAAACAATAATGAGGAAATCAAATCGTAAATCGAAAATAGAATAAACAAAAAGAGAGAAAATAGCTCAGCCAGGATTTCCTAACAAATTGAAGCTTCAAATTTAACCATTGATTGATCTAACTAACTAGCGGAATTAAGGTATTGGATGGAATCAGATGTAACTAACTTTTCTCCATTATGAAATAACTATATAACAGAAATCCTAACAGAAAACTAACTGTCAAAAACAGATCCAAACTAACTCTAACAACCCCTAACTGAATTCGGACTAACTCTTCTAACCAACTAACTAACTAACATTTTATTGCAGTTACTGTAACTAACAATTAAGAAACTTCCTAACAAACTTCTCAATAGTTGATAACAGGAAAAAGTCACAGGGAAAGGAGAATACTTACCTCTCAACCTCACTCTCTCCCTCTTCAATCTTTATCTCTGAAAAATATCTCTCTTCTTCATCTTCATCACTCTTCAAATCTGTGAAGAATCACCAAAAACATAAAAAACTTCAATTTGTCCCTCTAAAAATAAAGGCAGCGCCTCTCTACTCTTATTTTCTATGTTTCTTCCTCCTATCATCTTCATCAGTTCTTTCGCCAATTCTTGAATCATCTGATTCTTTGTAAGAGTTTCTCTGTGATTTTCATCCATTTATCCGCAAATCATCATTAATATTGTCACTGATTCACCAACTCCTCTCATCTATATAATAGAATTTCTGTTCATAGTGGAGGACATTCCAGATTAGCATTCACACTGATTATGCAAAAAAAAAACGTCAGAGGGAAATCAGTTTTAAAAACTCACCAGAAAAATCTCAAAACTCTCTCTTCTTCCTTCATCATTTCTTCATTCTTCACTCTCTAAAGAACCACACAAAACTCAAAACTCTTTTCCTCTTATCTTCATCTACAAATTTTCATCAGAAGCTCATTCAACCTCCAATTCATCGTTTCTCTATAACTTCAATCTATCATTATCATCACCATCACGGTTTTCTGCAATTCCTTCCGCAACTCACAATGAATCAACAATGCATCTTCTTCAACGCTTCACAATGAAGAACAACAATCCGCATCCTCAACCTTCGCGCATCATCGATTGTTTTCATCAACTACAACAGAAACATCATCGATCGAATTCTGCGAGAAAAACAAAGAATAAGATGGAAATGCGAGAAGATTTAGAAGAGAGGAGAATCTTACCTTCATAGGAGAGACGCCGTCACTAGCGTCGAGGATTTGATTCAAAATTAAGGAAGAGAAGACGAAGACGTCACTATATATTTGACGGAATGCGTTTGAAGAAGAAGCTTGAAGAGACAAGGATAGGAGATCGTTGGAGGAGAAGCAAATGAGGATGGAGAGGTCATCGCATTTGGGAGAGAAGAGGGATTCTCTGTTCATGAAGTCCAATGGTTATCATGTTTAACCCTATACAATTATCAAAATGCAGCATTTTAGTATTTTGGCAATTTTATTTCACTTTCATTTTTTTATATTTATGTTTAATTCAGAAATTAGGTAAAAATTGTGAAAATGTTAAGAACTATTGTTGAACTGGATTCAACACACCTTTCCTGGCCCATAGTATTTTGGTTTTTGAAACTGACTGCACAAAAAGGCTGGCTGGACCGAATTGCCTTTCATCAGGCCCATTAGCACCTCTTTTTGCTAATTAAAGCCTTATAACCAAAACTGGTTGGATTAAGCTTGTCGGGCCTAGCGCCCTTACCTATCAAACACCCAGTTTCAGATTAATTCCCCCTTTGTGTACCAATTTACTTGTTTCATATTAATTTTTTATTACCATTAATTTCGATAAATTCTTTGGTGATAAAATGATGCATGAACAAAAATAGTATGAAATGCTTTGGGATTTTAGAAATTAGTTATACTTCTCTTAGGATCAATTATTATGCTAATTTTTGGATCTTTATTTGAGGTATCTTGATGCCACTTGTATATGATAGTAGTGCTTGATCCATGATATGTGTTGACACGATTGGAGGATTATCTTGGTTGAATAAGTTCAATAGGTTTCGAAGTAAATTAAGAGCATAATGTTCAATAAAGGAAATTCAAAGAGGCTTTCGGTAGAGTTTTCTTATCGCTTGCATGGTTTTGAAGAGGCAACAGACCTTCTCCGTTAGGTATCATTGCAACTTTATTTTATTCCTCATTTCCGCACTTTATCATATTTCTTTACCGCTTTCTAGAGATCGTGAGAAGTAGGGCTTTACTACTTTCTTTGCCATGAGAAGTAGGGTAGAGATGCATGAAGGGGATCTTCGTTGCTGATCATGTCAGGAATCCCTCTGGTTAATTAAAGACCCATTACGGGCAATTCCGCATTGTGTGAATTCTATTTTCTAATTGTTGTTGTTTAAAACCCTACCTTTGAAGTAGGTATTATGCACGTGTGTTTATATTTTTTCCCGCATATGCTACAGATGATAAGTCCTTAAAAAAAGCGGGCGGGGAGGGTTCGCAATCAACCCTCGCAATTTAGTCGGTGTCATCCTTAGCTCGTGACGCACCATGATGCTTTGGAGTTTTGCCTGCTCTTGTTATCAAGTCATTAAATGGGGAAGGATTTTGCAATCGAACCCCCACGCTTCATCATGAGTTCGCATTGGCTGATGCTGATACTCCATGATTGTTCATATTGCCTTCAGTCACCTACCTCGATCTTCTATATCTTGGTTACGTGTTCAGTCGCTTTGGACATCACATTTTTTTTATATCCTACTCCCGCTTGTTTGTCTTGGGTGATACGCTACCCTTGGCTAAAGAATTTCTCTTCTTTTCTTTACTATTTCATGTGTGTCCTCCTTCGAGCTTGCTTGTTTTATCCTTATATATACCATGTTCCCTTAGGATACGCTTGTTTCTTTCAGATGCAAGTTAGACCTTATGTTGTAAACCATCCATGCTAACATTAGGTAGACATTTCCCTTTCACCCTTGACATAGAGATACCATTGTATGATAACATTAGGATTAGAAATATGCTATTCTCCCATAGACTCTTTTCTTTCCCCTTTTTGCATATGCATCTAAAACTAAAACTTTCTTTTTCTGAAGAAAATCATAGAACATGCTAATAATACTTAAACCCTTTTTCAAGGTAACAAAATACAAAGCAACTCAAACCTTTTTATGCGGCCAAGCACCTTTTCTATAAAACCCTTTTCAGGTAACGACATGATTGATTTACTTTTGTGCCAACGCGTGAGTTTCGAAAGGTTGAGCTGTGACAGAAGGCGAAATTAACATTGTTCATAAAAAATATAAAACAAACAAAGTATGTGAGCCGAACTATGATAACTCTGATTCCTCAAAAAGGATACGTAGGCATTAGGTAGGGCCCAAGCGAGCATAACTTTATTTTCCCTACATTTTTTTCTCTTCTTTTTTCATGCGTTCTTCCTCAGTAGTAAACAATAAGCATAGATTAGACACACCCTAAGATAGATAACAAGAGTGGATACCGTAGTGTACTACGAGCGTGTGGGGTTCTACTACCTTCCCCTCGTGTAATAGACTCCCTTACTCGATCTCTCTGTCGCAAGACCATGACTTCTCCCTTATCAGGTTTTCTCGATGTTTACCTTTTCCTTCATGTGGTATAAAAGATGTTCGATGGCGACTTCATTGTTTGATAATTTTCATCTGGTTGTTTCACACGTGCATATGAGGAACTCAAATTTCGCCTCATGTGTTTGGCGCACGGGGAACCGAACATATGATTGGATTTGAAGAGGTTGTGTATCATGTCTACGTCGAGCCACACCTTGTAATTAATGCACATTGATGTCAGTCTAGGGGCTAGGGTTTAATCATGAGCCCTACACTATCCTAGGTCCTGCGTGCGCTTGTACATGCATTGAGAACCCTCTATAAATTATAGAGGCAGAAGAATATATGCACCTTTCTCTTTTATTTCTTCTTCTCTCTGATCAATTCTTCCTGCCGTCATCACTATTCACATTCATCCATCGCTGTTACAGAGTTTCTCGATCACCGTTCCAGTTTTCCAAACCAAATAAGCTTTCTTCCTTTTTATGCTAGATTTAGCTTTGTTTTTTGTTAGAATGCATGCAGATATGATGGATTTAGTTAGAGGGAGTGTTTCTCCAACGATTTTTAGTGTTTCACGGTGGATGTGCCATTTTTTGATGCTATTACCAGCGATAGGGTGAGGTCGAGCTGGGGATTTGTGCATTTTTAGCTGAAATGGGGTTGTGGTCACGACGGCGAGCGAGCTTGCTGCCATCGGGGCTCATGAGTTCTCTGGTGGAATCATGATTTTTTGATGAATGTGTGAATTTTCCGATGAATGTATGAATTTCCCGATGATTCTTCAAATGGAATTCTGGGTACTATTGTCAGGGAGATCCTCCTCGTGAGGGTTTAAGTATTTTCCTGTCGGGGAGGCTCAAAACCAGTCGATGAGGAACTCTTTGAATCTTCGTTTGCTGTTTGAGTAAGGGCTTTGGCCGAGGACATCATTCTTGTGTCTTCATATGCCCCTTCACTTGGCTAGCGGTGGAAGGGTGGATTTGATTTGATCGTAGAATTCACTTTTGTCCTCTTCTTTTCTGGTAAAAATGACTACTAATTCTAAGGACAAAAATATGGTCGAGCAGATCAAGACTTCCAAGGAGGAGCAGACAGCGTCGGAGCCCCGTGAGTGGATAGCTCTGGAGCCTCGAGATATAGCCTCGCTCTTTGCTTCCTTCCCCGAGGAGGCGTTTACTACTGTGGGAGGAGAGACGAGTTCGTCAGGTGCCGAGGAGGAGTGGAGATTACTGCTCCCTGGGGAGGATGTGTGAATCTGCTCGTCCTTCGATAATGATCAGTTCTCCATGTATGAGTTCGTCTTCAAAGAGATGGGGCTTCGGTTTACTTTTACAGATCTTTAGGTGGCGATCTTTGCTCATTTGGACTTGGCACCTTCGCATCTTCACCCTAACTCGATAGCCTTCACTCGGGGCGTTCGAGATTGTTTGCATTTACCTCAAGATCGGGGCCATAATCCCCCTATTCTTTGTCTGCTTCCACCTTCAGAGGAAGACGAGCTCGGAGGGTCTGTTCGGTTAGGTTTCCTTAAAGTAGCCAAGGAATTTGTTCAAGGTGTACTCATATTCTATCCAAACGTTCAAGGATAGGTATTATATATTCATGCATGTGTCAGAGAGGGCCATCACTTCTTTGTTCAACTGGCAGGTTATGACAGACAATAAAGGGAATCCACTCCTCGGTGAAGACGGTAGGTGGAAGAGGCATTAAGTTCAGAGGTTCTGTTTCACCTGGAATCGAGATCACTTTGATAGGCAGACTGAGGAGTATCTTGTCCACCTGTACCAGTTAGAAGAGGATAATCGGCCAAGTTATAACAAGCCTGTGGCTTTCATCGATGATTTCATCCCTGCCTAGTTCGTGACTAAGGGCAAGGACATCATCCTTGATGATGATGGGGAGCCTATGCTGGAGGCTCAGCTTATCAATACAAAGGGGCTCCTCGAGTGTGCCACTCACGAGGATGCCATAACATTGTTAGGTTGATTTTCTTATTGTTAAATCATTTTTTTGTCTTCCTCGTTTTGTTGATTTACGCTCGTCGCTTGTTACAGGTGAAATTTGTAACACCCTTCTAAAACCCCACGAATAATATAAATAAGTAATCAGATTATTTCACCAAAAGAGCGTCACATGCCTCATAAAACATCATACATGCATGTCTTACTCCGTAACACTAGTTTTCTAAATCATTTATAACAAATACCTCATTAAATAACAACCATAATAGTTCAACTACTCGCAGCGGAATTCATAGTTCAAAACATATTTATCAAACACATCATAGAAACTTCGTTGTTCATGGTTCATAATTCAAAACAACTTAAATACCATGAAAGGTAGTTCAAGGTCTCATAATAAAATAAAATAACATAAGTTCAAAATCAAACGTTCCTGACGCCGATGTTACATATCAGAGCAAGACCTTCTAAAATCAATGGAAAGAAAACAACACAAACTAATCTATCTTCTAAGCTTCTACGAACTACTCCTGGTCACCTACGCGCTACCCACGTGGAGGAAACATTTAAACACAAAGGGTGAGTAATCACATTCATTAAAAAAGATATACAGAATAGACATAGTAGTTCAAACAGCAACATCATGGTATCAAAATTAACAACATTGTTAACAATTCGTCAAGTAGCACAACAACATATACAACACCATCTAGTCAACAATTATGCAATTTCACATAAGATGTAATGCAATAACATAGAATTATGCATGCGGTACCAATTCATTATGAGTACTTGACTCATCAACCTCCAAAGATCCCCACCATAGGATCGATTCCCTCTTGGAACCGGAGCACAACATCAA